ATACAAACCATATGGGTATGATTCCTTGCATGTATTTTAATGACTCTGCTTGCCTGCATAAAATCTTTAATAAAGAGAATTTTAAGTGAACTCRTTATGCTATCAGCAGAGAAATGGATGGATCATAAATCACTGAAGGCTCCTCTATACCTTTTTTTTTTTCCTTTTTCATTTAASCAGCCTGGGGGAACAGGGGGAAGCTATGATAAAAAATGAGAGAACTTTTACTATACCTCAACACTCCCTCATGTCACTTAACACCTGTTTTACAACTTCATTCAATACACCAAGCTGAATATTTTTTATCAGCTGATGGTTGCTGCAACACTTTGAGAATATTTGAGAACTCTGAGCTCACTCCGAATTGCAAGAAAAACTAGAAATTAACAAATCATTTTTGTCAAGTTGACTGCAAACACAACTCTTGAATCCCTGGAGTTTCTGTTCCATTTAGTTTACCTTTGGGTTTTTGGTTGGGTTTTTTTTTTGATTAGTGATATCATACTAGATAATATCCTTTTATTCAGTTACTTTAAAATTTGCTTAGCACAAAACATTAGTCCAGCCTTTTCCTTTAGGATTTATTCTCTGCTTATCTCAATTAGTATTGGGGATGTAGATTCCACATAAGGCATTCCAAACCAACAGGAGATTTCATCACTAAAATGACTGCTACGAATTAGGCAAAGCTATTTTCAAAGCTTTTCTTCTCACAAGATTACCAACAAACTTTAATATTTGTAATTTTCTGTGCATTCAGTCCCCATTTTCCAAGGATTTCAGTGCAATTTTTTCCATAATCAATTGACTAGTTAACAGACAATCCAGATTATGATTCTGCCCTCCTACTCAGCCTTGTTGAGATGTAACTGGAGAGYTCTGTCCAGATCTCAATTCCCTTCTTACATGAGTGAAATGGTCATAATGAAGTAAACTCAGCAAAGGGTCACAAAGGTCATAGATGGAGAGGCTGAGAGTGCTGGGACTGTTTCAGCCTGAAAACAGCAGGCTCAGAGGTGTCTTATCAGAACGTAAAATTCCCTCACCAGCGCCAGTGTAGAGAAGATTTAGCCAGAGTCTTAGTGGTGCTCAGTGACAGGGTAAGAGCAAATGGGTGCAAATTAAATACGACAAATATCAAACATAAGAAAAAACTTAGTCCTCCTAATAATAAGGGAATAGCAGTATTTCCCCACCTTAACATCATTGACACCTTGTAATCTCTTACTGGTATACACACTGTTTAAACTATTCAGGAAAGTGCTTTTAGGGTCACACTGAAAACAGCAGGCAGTATGTAGTTTACCCTGTGGTTTATACTGATTTTACTAATGAAGCAATCTATTGGAATTTACCAAAATTATGGATCGGCTTTGACTTAAAGAAATGATAATGACAGCAAAGTCAATGACCATAGTAGTGTAACAGCACTCCTGCTAATGTATGGGGTTTTTTACTAATAACATTTATTGAAAAGTTAAGGCTAAATAAATATGGTCTTGCAAGGAAACAAGAAACAACATGAAAAAGTCATATTATTTATGAGGCTTATTACAGGACGGGAGGGTGAGAAGAGAAGCATAGGGTGGAGAGGGAGAGAGAGAGAGAGACAGAATGAACTGATATAATTTCTTCTCAAAAATGCCACTCTAAGTAATGTACAACCATTCTCTTTTRCTGCATTAATATGCTCAACTTCCCTACTACTTAATCTTAGGTAGTTCCACCTATACAGGAATTTTTGGGGCCTAATTATGATTCTGTTCTAAATCTTTTTAACAGATGACCATGGCATTGTTGTGATTTATTCACATTTTCAAACTGCATCTCAGCAAAACTCCTTCAAATAATCTTTATTCAGAATGATCACCCGATCGTGTATCTGGAACACAAAATAGARTGGAACATTCGTGGAACACTTATCGTGTAGCTATGTATTTTGTGAGCATGCAGTTAGCTATCATGTATTTATGCTATGTTACTTTATGTTTTAAACCTTTCTGATACACTTATACTAAGTCTTCCCTAATTCTGGTCATTAGGCCCAATGACTTGATATATTAATTAAAGTACATATTGAGAAGAATTTGACCAGAGAAAAGGGTCATTTCTTAGGAAGGAGACTTCTGTACACAAAAAAGACTTGAATTCCTTCAACTCACTCTGAAAGTACTTCTTGTTTCCAGTGTTTTGCAAATGTTTGGTCATGATCTCCCATTTAYCCTAGCACTGCCATTTCCTTAAAAACTGGCACTACAACCTACAAAAAAAAAAGTCAGTAATGTGGAACCAGAACAGCAATCAGCAACAAGTAAAAGCACTACAACTGTGTATGTGCATGAGCGAGAGCACACTGGTTTAGAATTGGTAAATTAYACAAATATTTGGCTTCTTGCCCAGCTGTTCCTAAACAATGGTTCTCTACAAGATCTTTGTGAAAGAGTCCTGTAAATTGCAATGTTTAAAGATAAGGAAAGGCATACTCATGGAYGGTATGCTYAGTCAAGGAAAAAGAATTTMGTTAGAGAGATCCTTCCTTACACAGCATTCTTTAAACGCTGACAGTAGCAATCAACTTGAAGAGAGATGATACCATTTTAAAGAAAGCACAAAAATTTCTTCCTGTTAAGTTGTTAGTAACACAGTGCCCTGGATTCAGTGACTCTGAACTTGTGCAGTAAGTCCAAATATCAGCAAGGCACTTGTCTTTTTTTCAGGGGGCTGGGGGTAGGAGTCAAACAAGCAAAATAGTTTGTAATTTTAGATTTTCAGATCACTTCAGTCCAATTCCCTGCTCTGATCTTCCTCCTCTACTTTGCTGCAATTTCCTCTCTTACAAAAGAACTTTACTTCTTAAAAGAAGTAAAGTTCTTAAAGTTCTTAAAAGAACTTACATTCTTTTGGGGTATTACCCCCTAGCCCCTCCAAATGAACAAGGGCCTATGATGGGGCTATGTCCTTTGAGTGAAAAAACATATTCAAACTCACTAGCAATAGTCAGTAACAGTTTTGCTTTAAAATGTAATAAACACAAACTCAATGATACATTCCAAAGCCATCCATAAAATGCAGTTTGCAGGACTGGTGTAAGTGTTGCGAGTCCAGGATAAGCACAACCTATTGCTGTAGCTTCCAGATGCAAAATTCCACAGAGATCTAATTATTTCAAATGAGCAAAGAAGGAATAACTTCAAAATAAAGCTAAGTCCAGATTTTAAATTGAATAAGGAAAACAAAGGAGCTGGGGGAGGGTTGGTCTTATTAAAATGTCCATAAATACCCCACAGAGCACCATAATACCATGAAACCAATACTTTCAGGAATTTCATTCCAATGCCAAGAAACAGAATGTACTCATTGTGATTAATACATTAAAATACTGAAAATAAATTCTAACAGATTAAAAKGATCTTGTAGCAAGTGAGAGGTATAGTTAAATCATGCCAAACTTAATCGAGCTTAAGAGCATGGCAGTCTTTGCTCATTATTAATAAGAATGTAAGATGGATAAAGCAGACTGGCAAACTGCAATTTATAATCAGTACAAGTAATACAATATTTTCTACAAATATGTTTTTAATTAAGAATTAAAAGACATTTTCACTRAAGCAATTTGCTGCACATTCTTAAGTTTGATCTTCTGTTGTCTCCCACACACATACGGCTCCAGCAAAATGTTATTAAATGGGGTAAAACCAGAATATAGATCTAAATGCAAAATCAAATCCATGATTTACATGTTTGCTTTTCTAGGTGGATATATGAAAATATTTTTAAATCTTGATCACTTAATCCTGYGCTTTGGGGTCAGAAAACGCCGCTCACCCCTGCCAATCTGCTCTCCAGTTAYACGTGAAAATTTCAGTTCCACAAGGGCAAAGCAAGTGACGGAAAAAATGCACACTACTTTCAGGCTTCAGCTGAGCTTCTAAAACACATGGTCAAACACGTTGCCATGGAAATGTTCTGCAAATATATGTAGCACTTCTTAAGATGGAGATGAAAATCCCTTTTTAAAATAAATTTCTCCTACAATTTTAAATATAATGGCTCTGTGATATATTCAAGAGAATACATCAGCCATTTTCTAATGTTTATAACACCTAAAGTGGTAACAGTATCTCCAAATCCATTTTATGTTCCATGCATGAAATTAGGCCACTATCTTCCTATGCAAAATACCCATATACTTGTTTTCTTCTATGTACTCTGACTTTCCAATACAGCATCACAACACATTCGCAGATCTACAAGTAATAGTCTTGCAATAAAGTTGACAGCAGTTACAAAAAAAAAAAGATGAGACATGCTTCAGTAAAATKAATTTGGTTTTTAACAACACTCTGAATTTTTAAGATATTAATCTTTTTTTTACAACCCAGTGGTATTATTATGCATCCCTGTGTGTAACAATTAAAAAGAGGAGAATTATCTTGCCAAACTTTCACTGTTGTTCCGTGAGCTATTTTTAAAACTCATTTGAAATGAAGCAAAAAGAAAAAGAATCTACTGCTGCAAAATGAAGCAAGATCTCTGCCTGCAGAATAGCTCGTCCTGTTACACAATGTGATACGTTGTTTTAAATAACCTGCCACTGTAGGTAAACAGTTGCCTTATACTGCATTTCATAYGACAAACAAACACAATTACAATAGCTTTTGTGTGTCATTAAAGATAAAGCAAAATAAAAATGCAATACAATCTTGTCATTCTACTTCACAGCAAAGGTATAACCTTTCCCTATTGATTAGTTAAAAGAAAACATATTCACAGTAAAACAGGTTAAAAATATATATAGAATAACCTTACATTGTTCAAATAAAAATTAACACATTAAAATTCCAAGATATGCATTGCTCTGCTTATGTAAACAGTCTACCCTATAAATCCTGTAGCAAATCCAACGCGAAGCAATTACACAGACAAAGAGATTGCAAATGACCTAAAACTGTAAAACAAACCCTGTGTTAGAAATATTAGTATAAACTATGAGGTCATACCTGATGACTTAGGGACTGTAATGTCTCACCGGTTCCAAGCTGCATGACCTTTCTATTTCCAGAGACCCCCAAAAATTGCATTTCCTGTCTGATCAAAGTACATCACAGACCTATCTATCTTGCAAAATCTTCTGGGCTAGTGAAGAAAGCATTAACAGCCATTCTGTCCTTCAGTAAGTGCTGGAGTCATTACCCTCAAGATATCAGATCTTAAATATAGTTTCCTCCGTGCGATTACAGACATCCAGTAGTCAAGGAGGCTGACACAGCTATATCACTGATGCTGCTAATGCCATCTGAAAACAGTAAGCTTACTGCTTAAAGCAATCCTGCATCGTCCAAACAGAACAAGCCACATCCTTCAACTCCTCACTTGCGTTTTTTATAAAACCTAGCACTGCCATTATAGATTTTGTTTTCATCTCTGGTCAGCTGAAGGAGAAATTAGATATTATGCAACCAGCTTTGCATTAACAAAAGAAAAACGGCAGATGAAGTGACATATCGAGGTTATCAAATTTTGCTTGCATGACCACTCCTCAGCAAGCACTGTCACGATTCACAAGAAGCATCACAGTCTGATCCAAAGGAAAATCACCAGAAATAAATTATAAACAACTCACAGGCAGCAAGGTATTTTAATACCTCTGTGATACTGAAACAGCTATTTTTATGCTGCCTTATAAATCCYAGTCTCTATTAAATTAAAAACATTGCCTTCCTAGTATTTTAGTGTCTATTTTTAATAAATTGCATGATCACTGCATTGTTTCCATTACTCCCTGCTAGCAGCCAGAAAACAGCATGACTTGAAAATGTGCCAGTATTATGACAGCAAAAATGTGGTTTGATATCAAACAAAACAATCATGCATGAATTTCTTCTGATATGAGAGACCTTTCAAGCTAACAATGTACAGTCACCTCCTTAATAATTTTTAAATTATTAAGGCTAAAAATTAATAACAGAATTTTTTAATAATATATATATTTTACTCAAAGTGAAATTTCCAAGTGAAATGTATTATTATAAATCACTATTTATATTTACTGTTGCTAGTATTATGGCAACAAATATGCAAACAAAAAAASCACTTCACAGAACTAAGATGAAACAGTGCCACCAAACTAGTAAAAGTAACATTTAGTCATTTCTCTGAATTCCAAACCCATAGAACAATTACTTGTGTTCATATAGTGAGAAAATAATATTGAGGCATTCAGTCCATCTCCTTAAACATGCAGAAGCTTTCTCTCAACACATATTGAAACACTTWGCCACCAATTGAATTTTAGTAACAAAACTTGGAAGAAAAAACTCTTCCCTRATTTAACCTCAGCTTGCTTCTAATGTTATTCAAATTAATTAGGATGTCCTTCTTTACTTCAAAATAGAAGCAGAGGCTGAAAGTAGAATTAAATAGTTATAAATTAATTCACTCAGGTTCTATCCTGTTAGTTTAACATCATTATTATACATTTGTAGTAATTGCTCCATTGTGTTACTGAAGAGTTAATCGAATTTAGCTTATAGTCATTCMCATTATGGCACTGATAGAAGCAAACTGGTCTCATCCATGAACAGCACACATTTCCCTTTGGAGGGAAATGCTACYACTTTAAACTGAGCTCAATACAACTGCCTCAACAGAAGGATGTGACACCTCCAGGGAAAGGGAACTCTGTCAGCCACACACTGGCACAGGGTCTCCAGGAAGTGTCCAGCAGCCAGGCAGAGCCAGCCAGCACAGCTCTGAACTGCAGCAGAGAACCAGATAATGCCCAACTTGATGCTGCTTTTTAWATTCCCTGAGAGTTAACCCTGATGTCCAACAACCTGGCACTGTCTTTTTACTGCTGCTGGCAGCTGCAGTCAGGGAGCCACTTCTGAACAGTGTGAATGTTCCCCAAAGCTGACACTTTYCAACTTGCTCCAGATTAACTCATTAATTCACTTTCAACCCAGAAAGCTTCACTAAATCTATCCACACAAAAATAAATGCATATGCACAAGGAGACAAAAGGCCCTTCAAAAAAACAAATAAGAGCGACTCAGCGGTAAAAGGATAAAACAGCTTTCCCTGCATCAGAATGGATATGTTCAAAAATTTCTGATATTGGAAAGCACCATTAATATATGGGGAATAGAACAGTACCAGGAAGACATGAATTACCTCTAGAACCACAAGAATAAAACTGAGGTAAAAATTAATAATGCAAAATGCAAAGATGTGAACTTACCAATTATCAAGTTTCTGCTGAAAATTGAGACCTCAGCAGCTGAAAATTACAGTGGATGAAACTTAGSGTACAAAGCAGATCACAAGTAATTATGAGCTACCAAAACAATGTCCCAATGGAAACGAAATTAAATTTGAAATTTATCAGGTAATATATTTCTAGTATCTAGCCATCAATATTAATGCAATAATAAACTCTATTAAAATTGCATTGTTCTTGATTCTGATCATCTATTGTCTAAAAAGGAATTGAAAATGGAAGAGAAAGACTGCTACAGCAGTCAGAGAATTTTTGAGAAGAAACTGAAAATATTTGCTTTGTTTGGGTTAAACAAAAGACTAAAAGGGGGGTCTGCATAGGTGTGTCAAGAAAGAAGTGCCAAGGAAAAAGAAACTCAAGTACAAATTTGTAAGCACAAATCCATACCAAGTCATCAATAATTTGGGGAGTTTTAACTATCAGGGCTGAAGGCCTGCATGAACAGGAAATCAAAATAAAAGAACAAAAGTGTATCTTGCATGCCTCCATTTCTACAAGATASAAAAACACTGACAAATAAACAAAAATTCACAAAATTCATGTTACAGCAGAATTGGTACCAAGAACAAGACCTAAGGAAAATCAGAAGATTGCGATGAGGCTCAACACTGATTGGAAACTGGTTTAGAAGACTGGATTAAAAAAAAAAAAAGATATGATAACAGTTGGTTTCTCATATACTAAAGACACTGAACTTTCATCTTGAAACACAGAACGGTATTAACAATACAAAAAAATCAAAAATTTCTCTTAACCAAAATRAAAAATTCTAAGTTTTAACTGATTGCTCAGAATAACAAAGGTTAAAAAATATCTTTGTAGTTGAGTGGAGGAGTGGAATAAGCTGAAAAGTAATTAATGATCGCCCATTCTCCTTTAATCCTGATGAGAGGACTATTTCTATTACCTCTCTTTCGTCTACATATGTATCTCTTGTTCAATTCTCCCATTATATTACTGGGGTTTGGATAAAGGCCAAGTATCCTTCTTTAGGCAAAAAGGAAAACCATTAGGAAATTGAAGTTTATTTTTATTAACTCAGTTAAAACTTGTTATATTTTATGGACATCTCAAATGAGATGTCCAAAGACTCTCCTGGGATTATGTCAGCAGGCATTATGTAAATCTAATCAGCTCATCTGTGGATAACCATGACTGTGGTTAAAGGAAACTCAAAACATTTATAGAACAAAACAAGAAACAAGTAGAGACAGACCTGAACCATGGATGCATAGTCAAAATTTGCAAATTTACTGCCTGGCTCCAATTCTACCTAGTGGACAATGAACTTTATTAAAACCTGCCTTTCCAAATACCCTGATGTATTCCAAAGTCCCTGATGATCCACATCACTACATTACGYATTATTGACAAATTAGAATAAATTTATAATAAACAGCTTCAAAACAAGATTTCTTTCCAATATTTTACCTACAAAAGCTATTTTAAAATGTCTGGCATCCCAGCTCCCAGAAGATAATGTAGGAGAAGGTTCCTCTCCTTTCTCTCAGACTGCTGAGGAGCAATCCTATACTTACAATGTATATAACAGATGGTTGCTTACACTGGTTCTTGGAGAAATACAGAAAATAAAGGATACAAAATCTCCTCAAAGCTTGCAATCATACATTTATTTTGTTAGCAAGATTATATAAATCATGTATTCTAGAAAATTAACAGTAAAATCAGATTGAAATGGTAAATTTTAAATGTGTAAATAGAAAGTGAATAGGTTCTATCTCAAATAACCATGCCAACCTTTTCTGATTTAAAAGAAAGCAAAGCTTTCCACCTTTTCTAAGCATCTCACCAGAATAGTAACTTGTGCTATGGCCTGGGAAAACCTTTTTACTTTTATTAACTGACTAAGAACATGGCTGACTAAGGGCTTAACTGCAACCACCACGATGCTTGAATTGATTCAGGAAAACACCTTCCMTTCTTTAAAAAGGTGATAGGATTTGGACTCAATGCTGTACAGCACAACAGAAGTTTATTTTCCTGATAACAAAGAAACAGCAATTTAAACAAAAAGGCTGGAACCCATCAGCAAAGCAAGTTCTAATGGCCTTTCCTCAGAAGGAGCAGCGGGACAGGTGATGTTGCTCTGGRTGCTCTGTTGCCCCCAAATATAACACAACACTGAAGTTGCAGCCTAGTTATATTGCACATCTCTTATGTTCCTTTTTTTTTTTTCCCTTTTTCATCTCCCCCTTGTCCCTGAAGAGGAAGAAAAACTCCTTTTGCTTAAGAAAAATTTGTCAGCTCACTAATCCTAGCTCCTTATCTGCCTCAGAATAGATCTGACTTTTCTAAATATTTTGCATTAAAAAGTTCTCTTTCAAAAAAGAGAAATGTTAAATTTTGACACATAATTACCATTATCCTCTCTGCTAGCAAAAAATGATGGCAAAATGCCAACTTGCTTGTCTGCTACAGATAAGACATTTCCAAGCTTCCATCCTTCCCTTCAGAGAAAACAGAAGGGGAAGACCAGCCAGGAGAAAGCCTACCCTGTCAGCTGATCCTCTAAGAAATAAAATTAATATTCTCCTAGCAGAAATCATTTTCCTCCAAGCCTGAGGTAAATGATATGCCTTACCATATGTTATGATGGTCCTTTCAAGAATGACAAATTTGATGAATTTTTCCTGGATGGTCTTTCTCTCATCCAATCTCTTCTCATCACCTCCAGCTTCTGCTGCAGGCAAACTCTCAAGAGGCATAAATCAGCATCGCATCACCAAATTATATAACTTCTATCCACTGGGGATTTAGCCCCTTCTATTTCAGACTTAGCAAAAAAAAAAAAGTGCTCGTGCATTCTTCAATAATCTTTTTGATCTGTGTAGAGCTTTAGAGAATTACCCTGACAACACTGCTGACTTTGACAGCACTACACCCATCGTGAGCAGAGAACCCAGACATTTATTCTTAAAGGAAGAGCGCTATAAAGGTTATGTTCAATTAC